CACTAGGCGGAGCAGCTTATATCCCTCCCGGTTGATGCTGATCTGTGGTTTATCGTCATGAGTCATGGCGCAAAGCAGACGAGAAGTGCCATCCCGTCGCATTGATACCAAAAATTATTCGAGGGCGTTGAAATGAATGGCTTGGTTGGTTTGTTCAGGACATAGACGAAAAACGGCCAGCTGTGCAAAACTTTAGAATCACCCCGGAATCAAGCGAAAAACGCGCTCTAGTTTGAGAGAAAAAGTTGAAGAGGAAGATCACTGTGTCCAAACCATTCCAGTGCTAACCTTAAGAGGCACTTGGCATGATAATTGGTATCTGACTGTTAATGCTAACAGGGCGCATAGAGTGGGGAAAATGGTGAAAAAAACGAAGTGAAACGATCAAAAACCTGCGAAGAAAAGCCCTCGTTTATAATAGCTCAAAAAGATTCCGGACGAGTTTCCCGTAGGCATCTTGCCAATAAGCGCTACGTAGGTGCAGCTGCACCTGTGTACCGATATATCCATGCAGCATCGCAGCCGCTTCACACCAGTCCCTTCTCCTCATATTTTACTCAGCAAATGAAGCAATACGAGCACCAGGTAGTCCAGTTGTAGGGGGCGGGCGTGGTGGGCGTTCGGGTCGGTATGTTGTAGGTGATTTGATGGGGCTTTTATAGAGGTACCTTCTAGAAAAGGTGCTATGTAACGCCTGCTCAGGGTAGCCGAATTCCGTCCTGCCGGGAATATTAAACCTGCCCGTCTTAAGTTATTGATCTATCGTGCCAACTGCCTTTAACTAGCCGCTAAGTTAGAAAGTGGAAAGAACCGGTGCCAAAAAGCTGAAACCATCTTCTTTTTCATACAATAGCAATTAACTGCCATGTGATACGAAACTGGACAGTTTCGCAAAATGGACACAAGTTTACACAGCGTTGGGTCAACTAGCGATGGGTCACGTTTCAGACGTCATGCCTATCTTTCAGCTTTATTTTGCCGAGAAGGCAAGTGTACCGCCAAAACTCATGTTCTCATGCGCTTTTATTGCCTCATACAGCCCGAGCCAGCAACCTTCCCTATCTTTCCTACACCTTTAGGGCAGTGGAGGTCTTCCATCTAGACCTCCACTGCCGTCATGCTTTCCTCACAAGGAACTCTTTCTTTGAGAGCTGATGAAGGTATTCTTTCGTTCTTCCTTGACTTTGCAAAAGTGGTATGCATGACGTATACCAGGCTAAACAACAAATAATTGTCAATCATGCTCTGAACAAACCAATCTATCGCTCTAGTTCTAGGTGCCAATGTGACGGGATGGCACTACTAGCCTGCTTTGTGTGTGACTCACAGCGATCAACTACAGATCAGCATCCCTCGGGAAGGATAAAAGGCGTTGCTAGAGGATCACTGGAGGTCGACTTTCCCTGCCTTTGTAGCAGAGTTCATGACTTCTCCGTTCAAAAGTTCTGCAATCGTCAATGGTTGCGTTTTTACTTCTGCTGCGCGATGTTAAGGTGCTACCTTTACCTGGTTGGATTTCGCCCATCCTATTTTTCTCAAAGATTTAACTTGGCTCAAGGCAAAACAGTTGCCCACTTTCTTACTGACCGATTCATCCCTTTGAGAACCGTTTACTCACCTCTGAGAACGGTTCTTTTCATGTGCGAGATGCAGGAGCGTTCCCTGGGCCCTCAAAACTGTTCATGATCGGCTGGAGGGTAGCGTCTCTCTTGTGCCATCTCCGTACTGCCGCCATCTTCAATGCGCTGCACTTTCGCCTTCTCCAAGGCCGTACAGCGAAGCGAAAACAACCAGAGGTGAGAGGGCGAGTAGCGCCTTTGACCGCGGTTAGGCGTGCAGCTGGTCGTGGGGCAGCGCGGGCGCACTAAAGTGGTGGCGTCCGGGTATCACTATTCACCAGCTCCATTCTCTTGCCGTTTTAGCCAAAGAAAAAGGCATACAACTGCAGCTTCGACTCACTTACAAAACGCGAGCTGTATGAATGTGTTATCATAGAACCTCTTGGCAGAAGTAAAGCTTACAAGAAGATCCTGTTTTCAGTTTCGAAGGACTTCCCTATTTCAGCTTCTACTCATTCTCTTCAGCCACTACTGTTTCAGAATGAACACTATTATCTTTTTCTTGCAATTGTTAGTGCGACACTTTGTCATCCAAGCGGTGAAGATGGCCGTGGCGGAAAAGGTGGTCCAGGAGGTCGTGGACCACCACCGCCACCACCTCCGCCTTTCCTCGAAAATGTCAGCGAAGAAGCTAGAGAGGAGTTCTTCGCCATCTTGTCTAACGAAGATGAGACGATTACCGAACAGAAAAAGGACATTTTGATCTGGGCGCAGAAGTACGGAATTGAGGTAGGTTGACATCGATGCTTCTTCAGTTGCCTCTTCTCGACAGCAGAGTGTAGCAGCCGCCCTCAGATGGCAGAATCTGTTACTTTTTCAGGCTCAAGTTCAAGAGTTCAACACCAACATGACCAAGCTCAAGGATGAGCTCAAGAAGAATGTAACAGAACTTATTAGCGCCCTGCCAGCGGCACTAGGAAAAGATCTCAGCCGTAATGGAGAACAAAGACCAGACGAGACTCGAGATGAGGGAAGCTATCAAAGCTTTGAAGGCGGAAGATCCTAAAGTGAGATACCCACACGCTATTCATCATCTTTTCTTCCGATTCTAGCCGTGGTGCCCTACTAGCAGGCAGTTCAATGCATCTATTCAGGTCTATCGTGTCCTAAGATTTGCCGTCCGTCAGTTTAGGCCAAGACGTGGTTGCTTTCTAGGCGGACCTAAGGAACCGAGAGTAGGCGTTCCGATGGAAGGGCCTGAACCAGAAAACTTGTTTGATGATTTCCAAGGTTCGTTGTGTCCCTCAAGCGGGTAGACCTTATGCATTACAGATTTCACCTACTTGTTTGTCATTTACTTGAAGGGATCGGTAATGGAGTTGGCTTTCCTGGAAACGACTGAGGAAGATTGTGAGCTTG